AATTTTTAAAGCATAGTATGATAAATTCGTTTTGTGTTGAGCAAGGATCACCTGAAACAAGATATGAAAGACTCGAGAATGACTCCACAAGAGACTTAATGTATAGCGGAACGAATGAAATCCAATTTCCTGAAATTACGACCTTTCCGAAGTGGCCTCTGCCAAGAACGCTGACCATCCGGAACATGTCAACGGTCAAGTTGGCGCCCTTAGATGGCACTAGTGGGGCAGGTGCTAGAGGCGCGGCCGAGACCGAAGCCTAAAAATCAGTAAGTCAGGAAGCCTCGAGTCAGAAATATTACAAAGGGAGGACAATAAACACAGGCAAAAAATACGTCGAAGGAGAATTAGGATTACGCATGTGTAATTTGAATCACTTATTTTTACACAATAAAATCTATTTTACACAAGTGCTTCGAATAAAAACACCTGCTCAGCTCAATCCAACTATACCTGAGGGGAATGCAAAGTTGTTTCTTCGCTAGAGCTTGCGGTTACAGCAGGCGGAACTGACTTTCTGCGATAACTTCCTGGTAGTAGGATATTCTAGAAGACAATATTTTTGTAACAGTGATTTTATTTGATAGCAATTTTTGCAAGTTTGTCGTACCTCACTGTGATGTTGCACATGTCGATGTGGTGGAGTAGTAGAAGTTTCTCCTCCAAACGTTGGTTGAGCTACTTGCGAAAACCTTAAGAATTCTTCATTGAAGGGAACATGTCGAAAACAGACCTGAAATGATATCACGCCTAAAAGAACACACCTAGCCGCGCTATCCGCAAAAACAGTCGTGCGATCTCTGATTACTTCACGAGTTGACGATGATGTAGAGGATGTCTTTGAAGGGAATCCATAACCTGTAAGAAGTAATATAGCAATGAAAAATGAAAAATCTTCCTTAGACTGCTTGGCAGACCTTTTTGCAAAATTCTGTAAGCCCATGCTGAGCTACAAAATGGTATGAAATCCTCTTTCACTCGGGTTTTTTTTCTTCTTGCTGGACGATAGTCAGCGCTCGAAGATACTAAGACGATTGCTAGCTATAGGAACGATAGTACTGCTCAAGTCACACCCCCTCCTCCCGTCCAGAAATGGTAAGGTCATCGGCTCGAATGCCAATGATAGGATGGTAAGCAATACAAAAGCGAAGAAAAAAAAAGCAGAGAAGACTCGCCCGTAATACCCTATATAGAACCCCATGTAGAAGCGTGCTAGTCGTGCTCATGGCGAAGGGCAAGGTCGGACAAGTTCTCACTTGTTGGTGCAAGTTATTTCTCCTTATCATCTCACTCTCACCATTCGAATGGAGAGTGCTAATAGCGGACAGCTGCCATTTGAATATTTTTGCTAAGAAACTCTGAGGCGCAGACAAACTCCGACTTTCAGCAGATCGAGTGGTGCAAAAAAACATATGGCGAACCCGAACATGGACTTTTGAGAACGAGGGAGGAACTCCTGAATGCGATATATTTTTCGTGAAAAGGGGGGGGGTCACCATTATACGTGAAAATTTGGTATCTGTAGTGTATGGTGGCTATAGAATGTCATACCGTGCAGATAAGAGGCGAAGCAGATAATATGAGAAAATTGGCATGATAAAGGGGGTTAAGTCCAAGCTATGGACCACTACTCCGTTATTTACTAGATTGTTCTCCATTCTTAACAAGTACCATGTTCTAACTAGAAACATTTTTATGTAGCTCTAGCACGTTGAATGGAATTATCAAAGTGACCCGGTATAACACCAGTAAAATAATTACAGGGGGGGGGGGCAAAAAAAAAAGACTTTTTTCTTCCTTGACATTCGAGGCGTTGTAAGTTACACTTTATTGAATTCTTATCGGATATTTTCACCACCATATTAAAGAGCATATCAAATACTATTAAAATACTCCGCCACAGCCTTCTGGAGGAGCGCCATCGAGAGATTCTGCCACGCGACCGTGAGTGGGTGCCTGAGATCAGCGAGATAGTCGATTTCTCCGCCACCGTAGACCACCCTATTGAACTCCGCCCGAACCAGGTAATCGAGGGGGTTTGGGTCAGATGACCTGCTTGAATATTCCACCTTCCTCAGGTACTCAACGCCCCTCCATTCCAAGTAGGCGAGTGTTTCTCCAACGCCCTTCGATTTCATGTGGTGGCACTCAATGCTGTAGCAGTACAAAGTTTCCAAGAAGGTACGGGCGACGAAGACATGTGGGGCATGGCATATTCGTTCTCGAGGTTGTTTGCCCTTGGAATGTAACCGCAAGCAGCTCCACCTTCAGCGCCGGTTTGCCGCGGAAGGAAAACATATTGGTCGTGCCTTCCCAGGTACGTCCGATCTCTCTACCATCGACTGGCGCGCTTGGCGCACTGGGGGTGAAGATGAGTCTGGACCAGATAGCGACGTTGAGGGGGGCAGCTGCTCGATCGCCGTGGACGGGTTTCGCAAGATCGAGGAGCAGCTGGTTCCAGGTAGCTATCCATGGGTGACTCCATACTAGAAGTTTCGCAGCTGTTTGGAGGTGACATGAGTTCCGAAGGTCTTCTCCAGTCAGGTTGCGGCTGGAGATGACTTCATATTTTGGTGTACATGAAGGTGATGGGCGAGCGCCAGCTCCTGCTTATAGAGGAACATCTTGGGTATCTCCGCCCTGGTACTCGTATCCACGTTCTCTGTCTGGGCTGCGAAAACTTTGCTGATATGTGACTCGGTCGAAATGTTTTTTTGCCCCCCCCCTGTACTTTTGTATCTACCGCAGAACTTTCCACACAGAAATATGTTGGAAATACAAACCTGGTTGGAATCCAGACGTTCCGTAATCAACGATGGGCTCATTTTCTCGCCCTTTCAACATTCGAGATAGCGCGTGAACTCCCAGCTGTTTCTTAACACCTGCCATATCCTTGCGTTCTGAAACAAATTTCATCTAAAACCACGATATCAGAACTTTTTCAACCAGTCACATAACCGTACTGCTAAGTAAGCTCTGAGTAAATGGTATGAGTTTAAACGAGTTCTACCCTGGAAACTTTGAAACGAAAATCTATTTTCAAAGGGTCAGTTACCAGGGACTAAAGAAAACAACGATGCACTACCATATGATAATTATTGCGACCGATACAAAATACTCTTACCTTTCACTTTGAACAACCGCTTCTGTCGTTCGAGTTTGGGTTTACGGCTGATGACAGGGTTCAAGTACTTGAACTGAAACACGGGAAATACGACAAGCATGGCGATAGCTGAAACGAAAACACATACCTCAGCAAACAAATCTCCATGAGGCTCCAACTGAAGAACCATTCCAGCTTGACCTGTTGGCTCTACGAAATTGCCCAATTTTACAGCTGTGAAGGCGCACATAGACCGAGAGTCACGATAAAACACTTCTATTTCCAGTTCTTTGGACTGAAATTGGATGAGTAGTTTACAACTGAGAAATGGTATATACTAACGAGGTGTACAAGTATAAAAGTCACGAAATAAGAGGAAAATGACTCCCTTAGGCGCAAAATATCCCGTACATGAGGAGGTCTGACTGTTTACGGTTCCATACTTGGCGGCTGAGGAGATTCGGCGATCTGAGAGATTGCACGACGGGGAAAGTACGGGTATCGATCTGGCGGTTGCGAAAATCGAGCGGTCCGCCCATTCGGGGAAACTCGGGCGCTTCCGGACGCGCAATAGCCAGGAACGCCAGTAGGCCTCCCCCCTCATCTCTGGGATAGGGAATGTCCACAGTAAAATGAACGGTAAAACAGCACTGTGCTGAAGAAATTAGAATAACATTTTAAAAAAACTTACCCTGTCTAGATCGACGCTAAAGCGCTGATCCCATGCCTGTTGGCTAAGCGGGCGAGCTTCGGTGTGTCCAACGACTCGGCTATCTACACGCAGAAGAGCTATTACCTCATCTGACTGGCGTGAGACAGTGCTGAAATATAACTATTTAGCAGCCAATCAATACCCCTTGCACTGATAAAGTACCTATGGGTCCGTGTAGATGATGAGCGAATTTTGCCACGACTAGTACTTTCAGTGGTTAGCGAACTTGAAGCTGTTGCTCCCAACGCTTCAGCACGAGGAAGACGTCCAGGAACTTCACTGACCAGGTTTTGACATCCTATTAACCTTATCTGAAATACAAGACCTTCTATGAGGACTGCAGTTGTGATCTATGGAGCTAACGGACCAGATGAACTTACCTCCAATCTTCCACTTACAGCCAGTGAAGGTGGTAAAGTGCTCAGTCGCCGAGAATACAAGCTACGTGGTAGGCTAGCTGTTTTAGACGATGTTTCCTGAAGCACAAAACACTAATTATTGATAAATATAATAGTTAGTAAAAAAGGTGGAATAATTCCCAACAACGGCGTTTATCGGCTTATTTCTGCTTGGGCCAAACCTTCCAACATCTGTTCTTTTCACGCTTTTTTTACCGCGGTGGGTCCGCATTCATGCTTCGCTACTCATGCAATTTCCAAAACGCGCGACTGCGTCCGCGCTTTACCGCTCATCGCCGAAACGCACAAAATTTCTCCTCCGAAAGCGACCCTATTAGTACACGTTGGTCCAACAATTAGCAGTGGAGCACACCCGTTCGTAGCCCGTTCCCTAATCGCTCAAGTCGCTATGGATGAACCCGGACTACATGACATAATAACTAGTGATACTTATGCAGGCACTATGAGGCACTCTTATGGTATACTAGCACTCTTACGGAAAACTTACAGAAGGAGGGCTACTGGGTGCTGATCCAGGAGGGCTAAAACGACGATCGGCAAAACGTCCATGAGGTGATGAAGATGGCATACGGGTTTCTTCCATTTCCGTTAGCAACTCGCGACGACGACTAGACTCAGGTGGTAGTTGTTCGCTAAACAACATACATCATGAAAAATACTCAACATCAAGATCAGAGGAGGCTGCATTAAAAACAGAGGAATAAATACTCGATAACGAATATAACCAAAAACAAGGCGGAGCATTCACGCCAAACTCACATGTATTTTCTTAACGCCATTAAGATGAGATCAAGTTTTTCTTCCGAAAGTATCAAAGTTTGCTGGGCCTGAAATCATGACACGACTACTTGGGGATACGTTCAATAGATGAGCGTTGCATTGTTGGCGTTATAGACGATGGGGCAGAAATCGTGTACGCCTGCACCATCGATTGACAATACATGTGGCAGTGTTCAGACTTCGCGATAAGACGCGTCGACGCGCTACTATTGTTGCTACAGACAGGAACGCAACCATAGACGGGTGTCGAACTGCACTGACCGCTTATATTTTGAGAGAGTATACCAGAACAGAAGGGAACTTGTAATCACAGTCTGGTAGGCCCCTATTCTTCTATACTCTCCCGAAACGGTAGCGGCCGACACCGATTGATACACGTCTGCGGCTGCTTTCGCATCTATTTGGAGCGCTGTTGCAATTGTAGTACATCAACCCGCGTCATTCCGAAGTCTGAGCGCTGCGTTACGTTTACTGTGCGATCACTACCAAGAGCATACAGTGCAGTTCGCTGCGGACGGTTGGGCGTGTCAGGCGGGATGAGTTTGGCGCGGTGCCAAACCCGTTCTCCACCAGTTGTTAAAGCGAGCAAATGATATGACTGTATCATATCGTTCGTATTACTCGTTTTCTACCACTTTTTGTCGCATGCGCGCTTCAACAAGAAGGCAGAGAACGGCTTTGACGGGGTGACACACTCATACTGCCTGACACGCCCAACCGTCCGCAGCGAACTAGATTGCAGATGATTGCGACCCCGCAGTCCTACAGCGCTATGTTGTTTCCGAACAAGATAGAAAATAAGAAAACCATGGAAAAAAAGACACAGCCTTACGTCATTGAGACTCCTATGATCCGTCTTTCTTTGAGCACGAAGGATTTTTACCATATTTTTCGCACCCTCTATTATCGCTGCCTCCTTCCACAAACGGAAAAGAAGATCATCAATGACGATATCCAACTGCGACTTGGCTTCGCTGCCTGAAAGAAACAAAACATTGAAAAATAAAGAAATGACTGAAGCCAGTGGACACGATTGCAGGGGGGGGGGGTTGCCAGCATCATTGGCGGAAGGGTGGAAAACGGCGTTAGGCTGAACAGCCAGTCGTCGGTGGGATGTGGCGAAACGCCCTTCACCAATGAAGTTGGCACTAACCGCCCGCCTCCAGCAATCGTGCCAATGCCTGTATGCGTGAAGCTCTCATGGAAAAAGTAGACGCGAATGCATTGAAAAAAGAACAATAAAAAACATTCCAAAACACTGACGGTTCGTTTCGACCTTTTTTCATACTAAACCCTAAAAGCGCAACCTACCTCCGTTACTCGAATGGATATCATGTCCTTGATGGGCAATCTTCTCTATCTGCATACGTAATAAAGCTATTTTTGCTTTGCTATCCTACAATAGATCAAATAGTAACAGAACCTTATTCAGTAATAATAAAAAAAAAACAAAACCTACGTCAAGCATATTTTTGGAATCCTCCAGATATCTTCTGCTAGCCGAAGTGTTGGATGACATGAATTTCTCCAATCCATCTTTCACTTTCATTTCTTTTGCAAGATCCTTCTAAAATCATTAAACTGTCAGTTTCTTTTTATGGTTACAGGGCTTCTTCAACCGGACGTCTCTCACTGCAACGGCCAGAGGTATTTCCTCACCGCACCTTTAGACCGAAATTTCGAACGGAGTAAAACAATGAAGAGGGAAGAGAAGGAAGGAAGGAAATGAAGGAGAAAGGAAGAAAAAAAGAAGGGGAAGAAAGCTCCGCGATTGAAAGCTATCCGGAGCCCTTTTTCATAGCTAAAATTAATAACTGCTACTACCAGGACATGTACATGGTAGTTTATAAGCAATCATAACAGAGATCGCGTGAAGGAAATTGAGCGGAATATAGTGTAGTTCGCTGTGGACGGTTGGGGGTGTCTGGTGAGATGAGTGGCGCGGTGCCAAACCCGTTCACCACCAGTTGTGTAGTGGGCAAAGCAAGAAAACATTCAGTTCCCATTGAACAGGAACTTTTCTATAAAGCTGCAGAAAAAAAGTAAACTCAAAAAGGCCCTTTTGACAATGACCTGTATGAATGAACATATGGAAAGGAATCTTTCCATACCTGCAGAGCAGAAAGCCTGGAATTTTCCATGGCATGATGACCTCTTCTCTCATTAACGTCAACATCACTCGTCAAATCAAGTGGTGCACCGGTGGCTCCCAGAATGGGCTCATCACATCTCGACTCTTCGTCATCTGAAACGGAACGACTATGGTTCTTTAGCTCATCGGTCTGGTTCAGTTATAACTGAAGATATCATAAAGGCGAGAAAGTATCTACGAACTCCTCAATTCATGGTAGAGGCCGCCTCCTATGAACTACACCCTAACGGCGGGTCGTGAGCTCCAAGGAAATTCGGAATAGTAAAGCCCTTAAAACTTTTCGGACCCCTTTTAATTGTAAATTCATCTTTCAGAAAAGAGCGCATAATTTGGAAACAATGGGAAAACGCGGAAGAAAAATGTGATGAGTGAGAGATTCAACCTTTCTTTACAGTTTTGTAAAAAAAAGTAACCGAAATTGTTCCCTCTCCATCCTCCTAAAAATTATTTCTTTTATCAGAAAACTGGCTGCCAAGCAAGGAATATATAAGGCGCGTTCGTACGTGCGACGTCGACGTCAACGTCGACGAAAGCTGCGTAAGTTGCGTAAGCTGCGACTGGTTCGTGAATAATACATACGTATCGATCCAACGAAAGCTGCGTAAGTTGCGTAAGCTGCGTAAGTTGCGTAAGCTGCGTAAGTTGCGTAACCGACGACAGCTAACCGATCGATACGTATCTATTCTTCTCGAAGTTGTCGTCGGTTACGCAACTTACGCAGCTTACGCAAATTACGCAGCTTACGCAACTTACGCAGCTTACGCAACTTACGCAGCTTACGAACTTACGCAACTTACGCAGCTTTCTTTGGATCGATACGTATGTGTTCTTCAGTCGCAACTTACGCAGCTTACGCAACTTACGCAAAGGCGGTCGCAGGGTATGACCGCGCCCTAAGTTGGGTAGGCTGCGTAAGTTGCGACTGAAGAACACATACGTATCGATCCAAAGAAAGCTGCGTAAGTTGCGTAAGCTGCGTAAGTTGCGTAAGCTGCGTAATTTGCGTAAGCTGCGTAAGTTGCGTAAGCGACGACAACTTCGAGAAGAAT